TCCCAGCTGGGCAGAACGTGGGGTCCTTTCCTCTCCTGTGCTTCCTTCCTGGTGGCCAGAGCTCTCCTTCCTGGGCAGATCCCACAGCTCTTCAGAGAAGGGAGCTCTGGTCGCTAGGGATGTGGAAGTCGGAGGGAAGACATCCTCCTGTGTCTTCCTAGAGGAGGGTGCTGGGGAGACCTGCACTTCTGACATTTCCACATTGTGGAAATAATTGTCACCCACAGACTAAGAGCATGGGATTCACTCCTAAGAGTCAATTCTCCAAGCACAGGCGCATAAGAATCGGTAACGACCGGGGCCTGGCCCCTCTATTATGTCGAAAGAAAACGATCGTGTGTGTGGGACAGGACATGGCTCCTCATGCCACATGGCTTGGAGTTTAGTTACAGGGAAGACATTGGGCCATTGAACATGCAGGCACATAGACAGGCAGTTACATAAATCAATAAATACAAGTTGTTTTCTTTGTAGAGACCTGGACTCTATATATTTAGAGCTAGTCCAGGCCGGCCATGGACACTGGGAGGAAGGAGAGAAAGGAAAATGATGGGGTGGCCCACGACTCAGAGGCCAGAGGGAAAGTCAGTGAACGCGTGCTCCTCGTATCCTATTTCTCCCTTAGATTTTTTTTTTCTTTTTTTTCCTCCCTCTCTCTCTCTTTTTTTTTTAAGAGGTTTTTGCTATAGGGCGCGTGCGTTCGCCAGACAGAGAGACAGAGAGACAGAAAGTGAGAAATCACCCCCCAAGGGGGATGGCCACGCCACAATCCCTTCTCCTCCATTCTCCTCTTCGGATCTTGGCCACGCACGCACGCCCACGCGCCCAGCGTCAGTTTTAAGCCACCGGGTCCGGCATGCAAACCGCGGTCGACTGCATGGCAGTGCAGCGACGTAGCCATTACGCTAACTGCTGATCCCTTCTCTTTTTTTTTTTTTTTTTTTTTTTTTTTTGAGAGATTTTTGCTATAGGGTGCGTGTGCTCACCAAAGAGAGACAGAGAGACAGAAAGCAAGAAATCACCCCCTGGGGTGATGGCCATGTTGCAATCCCTTCTCCTCCTGAGATTTTGGGCATGCACGCACACACGCCCAGCATGGGTTTTAAGCAGGCAGGTCTACTATGTGGGAGTCCAAAGAAGTAACCATAACACCATGTGCTGGTTCCTCCCTTAGATCTTTTGCCATAGGGCATATGTCAAAGCCAAAAAGACTGAGGGAGAGAGGGAAAATGATACATCTCCATTCTCCTGTCTGGAGTTTGGGCATGCATGAGCACATGTCTGGCATGATTGTCAAGCAACCGGGCCTGGGACTTGAACTGTGGTGTCCGTCATTTGTGATCCAGCACCTTAACTTCCATATTACTTGTCAGCTCCCTCATATTCTGTTATGTATGTAGGTATGTATGTATGTATGTATGTATTTATTTATTTATAGAGGTTTTTGCCTCAGGATGTGTGTGCTTGCCTGGGGAAGAGAAAGAGACAGAGACAGAGACAGAGAGAGGGAAAGTGAGAAATCACCCCCACCCCTACCCTCACCCCCAGGGGGATGGCCATGCTGCAATCCCTTCTCTTCCATTCTCCTCCTGGGATCTTGGGCATGCACCTGGTGTGAGTGTCACACCACTGGGTCCAGGACTTGAACGTGATAGCCCATGTGGGAATCCAGTGACGAACCACTATGCCAGCTGCTGGCCCTCTCCCTCATATCCTTTTTTTTTTTTTTTTAAGAATTATTTTTAATTAATTTTATTTATTCATTCATTTATTTTAATTTGATCAGAGAGAGACAGAGAGAGAGAGAAAGTGAGAAAGCAAGTCACCAGGTCCCGGACCTGAACCACGGTCGGCCATGTGGGAGTGTCCAGTGCTTTAACCACCACGCTACCTGCTGGTCCCTCCCTCACATCCTTTTATTTGCCCTCAAAGACCTTCTTGTCCAATGACTGAAGGGAAAAGAGTTCAAGGCCATGGTGGAGTTGCTCCAGAACTGGTCTTGCTGAGTCCACATGGTTGGCATGGGGCCTACCTTTCCCCGTTTTCTCTTCCTCTCTGTTCGGTCACTCTTCCTGCTCAAACGTCTTCATGGAAACCTGCTTCTGCCGTGACCATCCACCTCTGCGTGGAGGTCAGGCCTCGGCAGTGACTGTGAAGGTGGAGGGCGGGCGATATGGGAAGCTGGGATGGTGTGAGTCAGGGCCCAGAATTCAGGGAGTTCCTGGGGTCCCAGGTGAGAACTGCTCAGTGAGAACTGCCTGCCCCAGTGTGTGGGAGCCAGGGGAGTGTTCTCTGGTCACTGTCAGTCCACAGACACCCACGGGCCATGCCCCTGCCCTGTGGTCACTGATGTCCATGAACAGCATTTTTTTAACTCCATTATTTTTTAATTAATTTTATTTATTCATTTTATTTATTTATTTATTTTATTTATTTATTTAAATTTGATCAGAAAGACACAGAGAGAGAGAGAAAGTGAGAAAGCAAGCCACCAGGTCTGAGACTCGAACCGTGGTCGGCCATGTGGGAGTATCCAGTGTTTTGTCTTTTTTTTTTTTTTAAAGAATTGTTTTATTTTATTTATTTATTTATTATTTATTTATTTAACTTTGACCAGAGAGGGACAGAGGGACAGAGTGAGAGAGCGAGAGCGAGAGAGAGAGAAAGTGAGAAACCAAGCCGCCAGGTCTGGGACTCGAACCATCGTTGGCCACATGGGAGGAGTCCAGCGCCCTTAATCACCAGGCCTCCTGCCAGCACCCAGCTAACCTTTTACTTGCATTCCCCCTTCTGTCAGGATTTTGGGTGCACACACATACACGTGCTCACATGCTTTCTCTTCTCTTTTTTTTTAAATAGAGATTGTTGCTAAAGGATATGTGTTTACCAGAGACACAGAGACAGAGAAAATGAGAAAACACCCCTCCCCAGGGGGAATGGCCACAACGCAATTCCTTCCCCTCTATTCTCCTCTTGGAATGCACACATACACTCCTGGTATGAGTTTCAAGACATCAGGTCCAGGACTCGAACTATGATTGACCATGTGAGAGTCCAGTGCCTTAAACACTATGCCCCATGCTAGATCTATGCTTGTATGTTTTCAAGCTGCTGGACCTGGGTTTTGAACTGGGATTGGAACCCCCATGAACCATTAGGATCTGGCTCTCTTAGCCACTAGGCCACAGGACCAGCCCAGAGCAATGCATTCTGTTTTAAAATATCTGAGTGTCGTTCACCTCCTTGATTAAGTTTACTCATAAGTATTTGGTTACATTCGGTGATGTGATAAAGGACATTGCTTTATTAATTTCATATGTGACTATTTACTACTGAAGTCTAAAAAGTCAACAGACAATTCATTGATTTTGTGTGTGTGTGTATATATATATATTTTTTTTTTTTTTGCTATAGGGCGCATGCGCTCACCAGAAAGACAGAGAGAGACAGAGAGACAGAAATTGAGAAATCACCCCCCAGGGGGGATGGCCATGCCGCAATCCCTTCTCCTCCATACTCCTCTCAGGATCTTGGGCACGCACACACATGCACCTGGTGTGAGTTTCAAGCCACTGGGTCCAGGACGTGAACCACGGTTAACTGCATGGGAGTTCAGCGACATGGCCATTACGCTAACTGCTGGTCCCCATTGATTTTGTATATTGAAGCTCTGCTAAATTCATTTCATAGTTGTCATTGTATCTGGGGGGCTTTTAGATAGAAGGTCATGTACTCCGAGGCAGAGATCATTTTATTTCTTTATTTCCAATTTCTCTTGTTTTCATTTCTCTGTTACCTCCTGTTAGATCCTCCAACCCTGTGCTGAGTGGGAGTGGGAAAAGGACATCTTTGTCTTGTCCTAATATTAGAGAACCTTCCACGGTGAACCTCCCTGCCCTCCACACATACCCTCTTCATTCTCCTGAAATAGTTATTATTCTTTTTTATTTTTAGGTTTGGCTATAGGGCATCTGTGCTCAACAGAGAGAAACAGAGAGAGGGAACTAAGAAATCAAACCAGGGGAGGTGGTCATGCTACAATCTCTTCTCCTTCACTCTTCTCTTGAGATTTCAGACATGCACACACATGCCCTTGGCATGATTTTCAAGCTGCTGGACCCAGGAATTGAACCATGCTATTGGCCATATGGGATCCAGCACCTTAACCACCATGCCATCTGCTGCCCTGAAATATGTATTATTCTTTTTGCTGTTTTTCTTTATACCCTCTGTGTTCCTTCAGCTGGTGTCAGCATGCTGCGGAAGGGACCGTTCCCGATTTGTATCCACTGTATCCTGAGCAATATGGCCGCCTCTGAAGAGGCTCAGTACATGGTGTGGACAGATGGCCTCCATGCAGTCGGCTGTCCTGGGTCAGAACCAGTTGGACTCTGTGTCCTCAGTCTTCCCTGACCTCGTTAGGACTGAATTGTGAGCTCCCAAATTCCCGTTTATAACCTCACCCCCAATATATCTGTATTTGTAAGTTACACCTCTGTGGGGTCATTACGGTTAATGACCTGTGCTAGCTCCTGAGGTGGGTGTCTTTATGAGAAATCTGGGCACACATAACCAGGGCCCGGGGGTCACTATGTGGGGACACAGCCCAAGATGGTGACCTGCAGGCCATGGAGAGAAGATTAGAAGGACCCAGCCTGCGGACAAGTGAATCGGCCTATGGTGACCTGCAGGCCATGGAGAGAAGATTAGAAGGACCCAGCCTGCGGACAAGTGGATCGGCCTTCCAGCCTCTGGACCTGAGAGGGAATAAAGATGTTGGGGGACGCCCAGCCTGGGGCCTGTGCTGTGGGGGCCTCAGAGACTCATGTGCCCCTGGGCTCAGCTCAGGCCCACCCACCCCTGCATCCTGGACTGTCTGATAAATTAAAGAAAAATGCACAATGTGTCATTGCCAAAGACCAGACTTGGGGGCAGGATCGGAGAGGGCGAGGACAGGTTCTCTGCACAGATGTCCCTGGGCAGGAGCTCAGAGCCAGATCTTAGACCAAACAAACAAAGGAGCAGCTGACTTGGCCCCGGTGGGAGCTGAGCAGAGAAGCCCCAGGGCTGCAGACCGAGGGTTCTTGTCGCACTTCCCCCCTGGCTTGAAGCACTGTGTGAGCTTTGAGGCTGTCATCATAGGAGAGACAGTGATAGACAGCCTCGTCCTCAGCCTGGAGCCCTGAGATGGTCAGGGAGGCCGACGTTCCAGACTTGGAGCCCGAGAATCGATCTGCAATCCCTGAGGGCCGATTGCTGTTACCATAGATGAGGAGTCTGGGGGCCTTTCCTGCGAGCTGTTGGTACCAGTACACAGAATTGCCACCGATGTTGCTGCTGCTTCCAGTGCAGGAGAGGGTGACCCTCTGGCCCGGGGTCCCAGACACTGAGGACGGCTGAGTCAGCACAGACTGGGCCCAGGATCCTGGAGATGGGAGAGACACAGAGAGGGTGATTCTGGGTCTTGAGACAAGAGGAGAAAGCAGGGCCCATGGTCTTCCCAGGCCCTTCCCCTGGCCCTGTATCTAGTCACCTGTGCAGTGAGCCAGGAGGGTGAGCAGGAGAGGGGACCAGGCCATGGTGGAGGGGATCCTGGAGTCCTGCCTTCTGAATCCACAGCTGAAACAGAGCTCCCCGAATCTCTCCCTTCCCCTCTTCATGCTCTGAGAGGGGGAGGGGTCACTTATGCAAATAACCCCCATCCCAGTTTGCTTGTCCCACCAGGCCCTGGGTCAGGCCCCTCTGCCTGAGAATGGCAGGGGCAGCAGGGGTGGGGCTACGTGGGCCCAAGTGTGGGAGGTCCCAGCTGTGAGCCCTGAGCAGAGGGCAGAGGCAGAGCCAAGTGCGGGGGCGGGGGGTTTCCCAGTTCTGATCCCCCCTACATTTCTCATGACCTGGACCTGGGTGGCCCCTGGTGTCCCAGCACAGACACAGCATCCTGTGACTGGTGACCTAACTCCCTGAGAGATAGCCCTGCCTCCCCCTGTCCTGGCAGTGATCAAGGCCCAGGTGAGACTGCTCTGTGGGAGCTGAGAGGATCAACCAAAAAGGGGGTGAGGGAAAGAATGTCATTCTACTTAAAGGTGTCTGATATAATTCTGTTTACAAATTAGAAAAAAAGCATTAATCTCTGATCTGATCTGAACATGTATGCAGTATGAATTATTGTGTCAAAGATATCAAGTTTAGGGACCGGCGGTGGCATGGTGGTTAAGGGTGCCACTTGAGATTTTAAATGCATTAAAATTTTAAAACAGATTTCTGTCATATAAAATAGTCACCTATTTAAAATTGGCCTACATGTTCATGTGAAAGTGAATCTATTATGCATTTTAATTTTTCACTTATACTCATTACCAATGTGAAACGATCTATAACTCATGTTCCTTGTTACTTGCAATTGTTTTGATTTTCGTTTTGTACACACAAACAACAGACATTTTATGTTTACATTCAACAGACAGTTTATGAACTTTTACTTATTTTCAAGATTGAAATACATTTTGACAAATACACTTGTAACCTGTTTTCTCAGTATGGCTTGCTCTTGAATAAGGTCTCAGCGCCCCCTGCCGTGCAAGGACCAGATTGCCCCAGGTCTGGGATGCACAGCAGAGGGCCAGGGAGAGAGAGCTGGTCTGCTCACTCTCTAAGGCCTCTGCCCCCTTCTCAGATAGGTGGGGTCTCTTCCCTGCCCAGGAGCCTCCTCTGCAGGCTGTAGAGGTGAATCTGGCCCACTGGCTGTTTTATTTTGTCAATGAGTTGAAATTCACATAAGTTAAAATGAAATGAACCATTTGGATCCACCATGTTGTGAACCAAGCTTCCAGGTCTGGGACTCGAACTCTGGTTGACCATATAGAAATTCAGTGCCCCCACCCCCCGTGCCACCTGCCAGCCCCAAGTTAGGAAACAGTTCCACCTCTGCTATTTTAATTGTGTTTTTTAGGAATGATAAGGAGGGGCAGGCAGGTAGCATGGTGGTTAAGGGTGCTGGACTCTCCAGATGGCCAACTGTGGTTCAGATCCTGGACTTGGCCGCTTGCTTTTTCACTTTCTGTTTTTCTCTCTCTCTCTTTCTCTCTCACTCTGTCCCTATCTGTCAGATTAAAATAAATAAATAAATAAGAATGATAAGAAGTAGATTTTTTTTTTCTTTTAACTTCTTTGGAGTGTTTGCATTTCCTACAGGACATAGCTTTTT